GGGGCATTAAATGCAACAGGAAATTTTTATATGCATATTAAGGCAAGTATCTTTTTAAAAGTAGCACAGAAAATTAAAAGTTATATTTATATCTAAACATTTAATCTACCTAATAAAGTTTAAATCTTATTTTAGAATGTTAGCTAAATAATGTCTCATATATTTATTCTGACACATTTTTCTCAATAATTTGATGTCTCTCTCTCTCTCTCTCTCTCTCTTTCTCTCTCTCTCCTTATATATATTTTTTTCTTAATACAGAGAAAACATCCATCATTATTTAAAAAAGCTTTACAAAAGAAAGAAGCAGGACACAAAAATGCATTCTCAGAATCATGTGAGGTGTTCGATTCAGTACCTGCGAAGCAACCAAAACTGATGAAACAGAGTATATTAGTGAAGAACACTGTCTCAAAAGAACAGGTATGCAAAATTATACTCAACATAGAATTTTACAATTATATAAATATATATAAAAATATAAATAAATAAAAACTGTTGTATATTTATTTCTAGGTTATGAAACTTGTATTATCGTATATAATTGACGAAATGAGACCACTTGCAACTGTCGAAAAACCTTCATTCAAAAATCTTATATCGGGCTTATCAAATGTTGAGCTACCAACACGAAAAACTTTTAAAAAGAAAGTTGAAAAACAATTTAAATTGACCATTACTAAAATAAAAATGCAAGTTTCTAAAGCCCAGTTTGTGTGCACTACTGCAGATATTTGGAGTTGTACAAACCGAAGTTTTATGGGAATTACTTGCCACTATCTCGATGAGAGCTTAAGAAGAAAATCCTATGTACTGGCATGTCGCCGTATGAAATTTGCTCACACGCACATCGAAATAACAAAAATGCTATTTAATGTGCATCAAAATTTTGGATTATCTGTCGATAAGATCGTAGGGACAGTTACAGATAATGCTTCAAATTTTGGAAAAGCATTTCGTATATTTTCACTCGACGAAATTGAAGAAGAGCCAGAATATTTACAACACGAAGAAGACATTACTGTATCTGAATTTGAACTTCTAAATAATTTTGACGATGATGTCGAAGATTTTACTTTACCAACACAATATAAGTGTATGTCACATACATTGAATTTAATCGCAACTACAGATGCACGTGCAGCTCTATCCAATATTAGATACAAGAAATTATATAATTCTTCATTTGCTAAAGCAAGTGCATTATGGAATATAGTACATAAATCAACAAAAGCAGCAGATATTATTGAAGAAATAGCACATACTAAATTACTAATTCCTTGCCCTACTCGTTGGAATTCAAGTTATGATGCAGTTTGTAAATTACTATCGATTAAAAATCACTTAAACGAAATTTGTGATCGTTTAGAAAAGCCAAAGTTCAAAATGATCGAAATCGAGTTTTTTGAAGAATATATCGCAGTAATGAAGACTTTAGCATGTACCATTGATTTGCTACAGGGAGAAAAATATTGTTATTTAGGATATGTTTTGCCAGCTTTGCTGCAACTTAAAATTGATTTGCAGTCTCTTCGCGATTTATCTAATTGTGAACCCTTGAGAAATACTTTAATAGATGGCATCGACAAAAGATTTAGAAATAATATATTTGATTTTGATAATACATGTAGCAAACCTTACGTTATTTCATCTTTGACTATTCCTAAACTTAAGCTAAAATGGCTGAACTTGATATCAGAAGCAGGATTTTTTCCAAAAATGACTCTGGATCACGAATATTGCAAAAACTTGCTTATTACAGAAGCAAAAAAATGTACAGATTTAAAAAATGAAACCAAAGTACCTTCTGATGTCTCTTCAACATCTTCTGTAGAAGATGACCAATTTTTAAAATTTTTAAAACCTCAAGACACAGAAATAACAACTAATAGTGATATCGATATGGAAGTTCTTTCTTATTTATCAGATAAACAAAAGGATATTACGTCAATTGCACGTTTTCCCCACATGAAAAATTTATTTTTTAAATTTAATACAATTTTACCTTCATCAGCACCACTTGAGCGATTATTTAGTACTGGTGGTCAAATTTTAATACCGCGGCGAAATAGATTGGGTGATGATATGTTTGAAGCATTTTTGATTTGTAAAACTAATAATAACTTATATTAAAAATATATAAAAATATTTTTAAAATATAAATAGTAAAAATCAATATTATTAAAAATACAGATTTGTTTTGGCTACATATATAATTATATTACCTCTTTTGTTTTACCTGTAAATATGCATAAAAGCATATTTATAAAAAGTATATATTTTAAAAAGTATATTCATTTATGTTATTATTAGGTTTGCTTAGGTGACTTAGGTCAAAATATATGTACATATATCTGATTATTTTTAGAAGATATATCATCAATGATTATTAATTGTATTAAATACAAACGCTTTTTAAATAATATATTTTTACTAATAATAAAACGCCATTTGAATCTATTTTACCGAGATTATTATGCAACTAGTCATAGTAGTCATTTAGTTATTTTTATCTTTAATTTTTGCAGTTTTATTTGGTGTATTCAAATAACTCATAAATATATGTCGTTTACTTATATAAATCTCCACTTCATTATTCTTATTTAATAAAATAACATTTAAAAGTATCTGATAAGTATCTGCGAGATACTTTTAAAATATCTAAGTATTTGAAGTTATATACATTTTAATTTGTATCTGTGTCTATATCTAGATACATTTTTTTCACATGTATCTGTATCTGTATCGAGATACATTTTAAAAGTATATTACCCATCACTGCTTCCGACGCTCCTCTCCCTTGAGCGCGCGACTCGAGTTCCCGCGACGCGAATACGATCACCACCGCTGCTGCCGCGATGCGACGTCGTAGCGTTAGATCCGTTAAGGCGTCTTTAGATGGAAGCGTTTAGCGTCAAGCGTCGAGCGTCAAAAACACGTGCGCAGCACCCTTGCGCATAATTCTGAACAGGCAGATTCCAGCATCTTGACGCTAAAACCGCTAAAACAATGTCTAGTAACAAAATTTTAATAAATACGGTAGAGGTAAGTAGATTGTATATTCTTAATAGAAAATGTATTAATATATATAATATATAATAAATATAATAGATATAATAGATGTAATAGATATCATTATACAATATATATTATAGAATTGCGCGATTAGTAGCGTATTACAACATAACCAAACAGAAGGAATAATTGGCATAAATATATGTTTTCTAAATACAACATGAATATTATTTATTACAATGTATTCTTTGTATAGGATATAACGTGTGGAGTGTGCACGTAACTTTTTTTTGTTTCTTATATTCATGATTAATAATGCTGCTGCATTCTAATAACCATTGATGATAACGATAATTAACTGACATTTTATTGATAATATTTGATAATAATGATAATATTGATAATATTGATAATAATGATAATATTTGATAATATTCCGCAATTTAGATGATTTACTGACTGCTCCAGCGTTTCAACAAATCACTAGGCACACTGCGCATGTCACACTTTTTGACGCTTTAACGCTCGACGCTAATACGCTCCCATGTAAAGGCACCTTTAACGAGCATCACGCAACGCGCGCGATTCGCCCTATTCCCCCGTCCTCGTATCTCGCCGCGTTCGTTCTATCGTCTACGTTGTATGTGCAACCGAATCGAGATCTCCTCGTCGCGGAAATCGATCAATCGATCATCCTGATCGACGACGCGCAGCGATATGTCGGTCATGAGTCGCGCGATGACCGGCAGATAAATGATTTGCCTCGGGATCTCCGACACTATATCCCGGCGGAATGTTCGGCGCGAATTCGTGTAACGTGTGAGCGGATCTCTCGTTTATGTACGCGCCCGTCGTCAAGTTGCACTCGACGCGAATCGTGTTAACCGCGATAATGCTCACAGGCTTATCGGACGCGTACCCTTTGTTCAGTCGTAATTAGAGGTGAGCAAATCTGTTCTCACTTCCGCTCGTTCCCGCCAGCGAGACTGGATTCTCGATACTCAGATTATCGCTGTTATCGAGAATAGAAACTCGGGAACGAGCGAGTCCCGAGTCTCGATGTTCTATTAGATGCAGTAGGGGTAGGTAAGATTCAGGATTCAACAACCGAAATCGAAACGACTCGGTGTTGTACGCAATACATGACAATAAATTCGTGAAAAAAATGGCATTTTTTCTATTTAATTATTTAAACAACTTTAGCTTTAAATCTAAAAATTATTAATAAAATAAAATGAAAAAAATAGTAAGATAATTTTTTAAAATAATAAATAAATTTTGTGAATAAAGAAGGTAATAAAACAAGAAAAATTAATGTCATTTAATAACACAAAACATTAATGTCATTTAATAACACAAAACATTAATGTCATTTGTTCCGGAATAGCGTGTTAGCGCGAAAGCTCTAAATATCTCAGTAATATTTCATGGTCTCAATCATACTTTAATTGAAACTCGCTCGATCGGTGAAACCATCGCGCTATCATTAAGCAAATACATCGTCGTAAACATCAAGAATTCGATGCTGTCTATCATTGTTTTTCTTCCCATACTCTCCGCATTGTCAATAGTCGAATTTAAGACTCGAATAGCCAATCAGCTGAATAGCCAATCCGCATTTTCTGCCTGCCTTCGTGGCCGAATTTATTGAAAGATTCTCATTCTCAGAACGGTCATCGAAGCAATCACATCGCGAATTATCCTCACACGTTGTCGATTACCGCTCGTCTCGCTTTAAGTGCTGACTTAATAAAACTTCATAGTTATCGTTTCCAAGCCTAGTGCGTTATTCTTTGATCACCTAGCCGATCTACGATTTTTACCGCCTTGACCACCGAGCCTTCTTACAAGGCGAACCCAGCCTGAACGCGCATAAACCGGGTGCGCACATTTATTGGTCCTTCGAGCCGGATTCGGAGTCAAGGAGCATTGTCGTTTGTGCATCGGCTGTCGTCGTTATCGCAGTGAAAACAGGGCAAGTCGCCATGACATCACTGGATGAGCTTCTGGTAAAGCAACACCAGTTAATGAATTCCATTCACCGTACGCTACCAAATTTCAAGAAAATGGGACAAGCTAAGATGACATACGCTGTGGTACAGGGCAAAATTACGTTCTTGAAGGAAAAGTTCTTGCATGCCAGGATCTGGACGCGAAAATTCTTTCGCACGTCGACATCAAAGGTAAGGAGACCTACGTCTCAGAAAACCACTTCGTCGCTTGTAAAGACGCTCGAGGAAGCACTGGACTACCTGTCGGAGGCTCTCGCTAAACTCACTAGCACTGGTAAACCCGGAGACCAAACCGTGAGTCATAACTCTGATTCGTCTACTAATCCATCGCCTCAACTTCCGCGGATCAGCTTGCCGACTTTCAACGGAACTTTCAACCGTTGGGAAAGCTTTCGCGATCGATTTAAAGCAATTATTATAGATAATCGCAATCTCACGAATGTCGATCGACTGCAATACTTATGTTCAAGTTTATCGGGCGATGCAAGTAACGCGCTCAATAATCTCGCGATTACCGATGCTAATTTCGCTGTCGCATGGGACATTCTTACGTCGCGTTATGAAAATAAGTGCCGCTTGATCAACGGCCATTTACAAACTTTGTTCTCGCTGTCGCCGCTCTCGTCCGAAACCTTCAAAGACCTTCAAACGTTGCGTGACACAGCGAATATGTCGATTCAAGCGCTCAAAAACCTCGGTTGTCCTGTCGATAGGTGGAGCGAAATTTTAGTGTTCCTTATCTCTCAGAAATTAGATAAATCCTCCAGAAAAGCGTGGGAATCGCGATTAGGCGAAACCATCGATTATCCTCCGTACGCCGAGTTAGATAAATTTCTAGAATCACGTATTCGCGCTCTTGAAGTTATCGCGCCGTCTAAATCCGACAATGCGGCTAATTCGCAAAAATCGACTAAAACAAAATCGATCGCCTCTCATTCGGCCACAACTGCGAATCCATCGTGTCCGATCTGTAAATCGTCGCATTCGTTATTTCAGTGTCCGTCTTTCTCCGCCTATACTCCATCGCAACGCTACGATTATATTAAAAAAGAAAATCGTTGCATAAATTGTCTTGGGTGCAAACATTCACAGAAAAATTGTAAAAGCGTTCGGTCATGTAAGACTTGTCATCAACGGCATCATACTTTGCTCCATTTCACGGATGATTCAAAGCCTAACAAGGAGGAATCGGCCTCAATCGTTGAATCAAAGGATGTAAAACCGAATAACGAAGTCGCATCACATTTGATGTCGAATATTATGATGCCGAGATCGACAATACTTTTGGCCACCGCTCGCGTTCGCATATACTCGCCGCACGGACGCTGTGTTCGTGCTCGCGCATTACTCGATCAAGACTCCGTCGCCACGTTAATCTCGTCGAACATCGCTCAGCGCTTACGCCTAGCAAAGGTGAAGCGCATAACGCGTATCACCGGAATAGGAGAATCGCAATCGGTATCGCGTTACGCAGCACATATCCGCGTAACACCCTCCGCCGGTGATCATCCTGCCTACTCGACTATCGCTTACATAATCAATTCATTGTCGAAATACTTACCTAATCGTATCAATTCGTCGTGCCAATGGACGCATACATCTTCTCTCGCCGATGATGACCCCATGAGTTCAGACCCTATCGATGTCATCATCGGAGCCGACCTTTACGGCCAGCTCTTGCTGGACAGTATCCGTAGGGGTACCGATACCGAGCCTATCGCGCAGCACACAACTCTCGGGTGGATATTATCCGGACCCACTTCATCATCTCAATCTCGTTCTACGAGTTCCATGCTCGTTCACCACGGAACCTTTCTCGAAACATTAGACGTCGATCTGCATCGCTTTTGGGAGGTCGAAGAAATACCTCGCAAACAGTCTCTGAGTCCCGAAGAAAAACAGTGCGAGGACCATTTCGCAGTCACTCACTATCGCACGCCGGAGGGAAAATATGTTGTTCGACTACCGTTCAAGAGCGACCCTCCTATCGAGATCGGAGAATCGCGCTCCACCGCGCTGTCGAGTCTATATCGCGCTGAACAACACTTTCGTCGCAATCCAACCAAAGCTACTTTATATCGCGATTTTCTTGAAGAATATGAGAATCTCGGTCATATGATTAAAACACCTGACATCGAGCCATTCGCAAATCTATCATATTCCGCACCATGCAGTCTTTCGTGAAACGAGCATTACCACTTAACTCCGTGTCGTCTTTAACGCATCGTGTCGCACGTCAAACGGTACGTCACTAAACGATCATCTGCTGGTCGGTCCGAAATTGCAAAATGACCTTATCGCGGTTATCCTTCAATGGCGGCAATTCCGATACGTTTATACAGCCGACATTGCCAAAATGTATCGGCAAATCTTAGTAGATCCTCAAGACGTTGATTATCAACGAATCTTGTGGCGTCCTACGCCCTCCGAGTCAGTCGTCGAATATCGTTTGCTCACTGTCACGTACGGCACGGCGTCAGCCCCGTTTCAAGCGCTCCGCGTCTTGAAGCAGTTGATTATCGACGAGGGATCCAACTTCCCGCTAGCAGTTGCCGTCTTACATCGTCTGCTTTACGTCGACGATTGTACGTTCGGAGCCGATAGTCCAGAACTTGCGCGTCAGATTCGAAACGAGCTAATTTCACTTTTAAACAAGGGAGGCTTTAGTTTACGAAAATGGGCAAGTAACTGTCCAGATTTGTTATCGGACATTGACCCTCATGATCATGGTCTCGCGTGTAACAAAGAACTGCAAATCGACGAGTCACTAAAAATTCTTGGTGTCGTGTGGAACCCAAAGGATAATAGCTTTCAGTTTCGCATAACGACATTAGAATCTCCCGGACAAACTAAGCGTGCGGTTCTCTCGTGTATCGCGAGGTTATTCGACCTGTTAAGTTGGATAACGCCCGTAGTAATTGCCGCGAAGATATTTATGCAGCGCTTATGGCTACTGAAATGTGATTGGGACGACACACTGCCGTCGGACCTTCTCGATCAGTGATGTGAATACCACCAACAATTACCACAGCTCGAATTGATCGATTCCTCGGTGGACAAATTATGAATCTCGTATCGCTTCCCGCGAGTTGCACGAATTTTCAGATGCCTCAACAAAGGCATACGCAGCCGTCGTGTATATTCGCATTGTACCGATAAACAGACCCGCTACAGTGTTGCTTCTTGTCGCTAAATCGAAAGTCGCACCGATCAAAACATTGAGCGTTCCGCGTCTCGAACTTTCCGGCGCGTTACTTCTCGCGCGTTTAATGTCATTTGTTCGTTCGAACCTCCAACTTCAAAATTTGCAGTGTCACTGTTGGACTGACTCAACCATCACCTTAGCGTGGCTAAAACAAACGCCCTCACAATGGAAAATATTTGTCGCGAATCGGGTTGCGGAAATTCAAACTCTGCTACCAACAGCAGTCTGACGACATGTCCCCACAGCTGACAATCCCGCCGATTGTTCATCTCGCGGTGTGAACCCGAGGACTCTCGCGAGTTGCGCTCTTTGGTGGTCTGGGCCTTCATGGCTTAAACAATCCCCTCAACATTGGCCGAGCTCATGCTCCATCGTGTCTGAATCCGATCTATGCAATGAGAAACGTCTTGTTGTACATATTTGCATTCCGCGCGTTACGGATTCTTGGGATCTCGCCACGCGTTACTCTTCATGGTCCAAACTCCTGCGAGTGACTGCATATCTATCTCGATTCATAACTAATCTTCGCTATCGTCTAAAACCCGAATCACAGAAAGTCGCTTCACATAATACATCGCTCGCGTTATTACAGCACGAAGTGCAAGCCGCCAAAATCTTTTGGCTCAAAACAATACAATTCGAAACATTCGCGCAAGAGATTTCGCAGCTCACGCAAATTAAACGTCAAGGAAAAGCGTACTCGTCACGCTTAACCCATACCTCGATGTCGACGGACTGATTAGAGTCGGAGGACGACTAGAGAAATCCGACCTTCCTGTATCTACCAAACATCCGATCGTCCTACAATCTCATCCATTGTTGTCGCTTATTATATCGCATGCCCATGACAAAACTCTTCATGGGGGTCCTCATCTAACTCTCGCCTATCTTCGCACCGAATTCTGGATCCTACGAGCTCGGACAATAGTGCGAGCAGTCTTGCACCGGTGTATTAAGTGTGCTCGCGAAAAGGCCAAGGTCGTGGAAGAGCTCATGGGAAATTTACCTAATGTTCGCGTGAACAAATCAGTTCATGCTTTTGAACATACCGGTGTCGATTATGCAGGACCGATACTCGTGCGAAGCGCGCCTGGATGTGGCCATAAAGCTCACAAAGCTTATATCGCGTTGTTCATATGTATGACAACACGAACAATTCATTTAGAGCTGGTAAGCGACTATAGCTCAGACGCCTTCCTCGCCTGTTTCCATCGCTTTGTATCGCGCCGTGGAATTCCGAACTCGATGTATTCGGATAACGGCACCACCTTCCAAGGTGCTGATCGCGAACTCGTTGCTTCGTATAACGCGGCCGTTCGCAATTCTAATTTCTTAAACAAACTATCGATCGATCGCATAGCGTGGCATTTCCTTCCCCCGTCAGCGCCACATTTCGGTGGGTTATGGGAGGCAGGAGTGTGCAGCGTTAAACATCATCTAAAACGATGTATTGGAGCTCATACGCTTACATATGAAGAGATGAATACGCTATTGTGTCGTATCGAGACGTGCCTAAATTCACGACCAATCGCCGCCACCTCCGATTGTCTCGATGATTACCGCGCATTGACGCCCGATCATTTTTTGATCGGCGATAATCTTATCGCGATACCAGAACCTAGCGTTCTCCAGTTGTCGGAGAATCGATTGTCGCGCTGGCAACTTGTACAGCGAATAACCGAGGTTTTTTGGAGGTTTTGGACGAGCGATTACTTGCATACCCTCCAACAACGACCAAAGTGGCGTGTCGTTCAAAAACTGGCCAAGATCGATCAAATTGTTCTGTTGCGTAATAATCTCGCTCCACCAAGTCAGTGGGAACTCGGTCGCATTACAGCCTGTCATCCCGGTGATGATGGACTCACGCGCGTCGTTACCGTTAAAACCGCGAATTCGGAATATAAGCGACCTATTGTAAAGCTTTGCTTTCTCCCGATTGATATTAACATCGAAACCGAACGAGATGCGCGCAAGGTGGGCGGTCCACTCTCATAATGCGTACACCATCCCGGAGCAAAACCGGCTATATCTGTATATATGTACATAAACTTTGTCATTCGTGTGAAATTTAAATGTTGTAACTGTCAGTGAAAATTATGTTATCAAAACTCTAATGTACTCATGATCAGGCGTTCACTTTGATCGTCGAATGTAAACATTCGAGGCGGGCGGTATGTTCCGGAATAGCGTGTTAGCGCGAAAGCTCTCAGTAATATTTCATGGTCTCAATCATACTTTAATTGAAACTCGCTCGATCGGTGAAACCATCGCGCTATCATTAAGCAAATACATCGTCGTAAACATCATTTAATAACAACAAACATTTAAAATAGAGCTGAAAATGTGAATATGTATGTATGTGTGTGTGTGTGTGTGTGTGTGTGTGTGTGTGTGTGTGTGTATTATCCGAAATGTATGTGTGTGCAAATAAAACATGTAAAACTTTAAATATAATAAATAAAATAAATAAATAAAATATTAGGACTGTGAATTAATTTTGAGGGATTTTTTGTAAATTCAAGGTTTTATTATTGTGAAAAATTGTGTACATTATTATTTTTCAAAGTATTATCGCTAGCCACTACTTTTTCCTATCTTTCTGGCAGCATACGAATTCCATGTCGAAAGAACAACTCATCTTTTGATGCTATCCACCAATCGATCCAATTTTTCGTCTCTTCGTAAGATTGGAAGCGTTGCTTAGCCAGGTGTTCCATGGATCGGAACAAGTAGTAATCCAATGGAGCAATATCTGGTGAATATGACGGGTAAAACATCCCATTTCAGCGTTTCTAAGTATTTTTTGACTACACGAGCAACATGTGGTCGAACGTTTTGTCATGTTGAAAAATTATTTTATCGTGCCTTTGCTCGAATTGCGGCCGTTTTTCCTTCAATGCACGGTTCAAACGCATCCATTGTGTTCGGTAGCGTTCACCAGTGATGGTTTCATTCGGTTGAAGCAGCTCATAGTACACAACACTAAGCTGGTTCCACCAAATACAGAGCATGAGCTTCGAACCATGAATATTCGGCCTTGCCGTCGATGTTTGCATGAGGCAAACCCCACGATTTTCTACGCTTAGGATTATCGTAGCGTATCCATTTTTCATCGCCAGTGATGATACGATGCAAAACACCCTTTCTTTTTTGCCGTTGAAGCAATTGTTCTCACGTAAAAAATCGCCGTTCAATCTCTCGGCTTCAATTCGTATGACACCCAATTTCCTTGCTTTTGAATTATACCGAGTGCATTTAAATGTTTGGAAACTGTTGTGCGATCAACATTCAACGATTCAGCAAGTTCATCTTGCGTTTGACATGAATCTTGGTCGAGTAATGCTTCCAATTCCTCATCTTCGAACTTTTTCGGTTAACCAGGGCGTTCTTTGTCAACTGTATCGAAATAACCACTTCTAAAACATCGAAATCAATACTCACACGTTTTTATCGATGAAGTATGTTCACCATAAGTTTCCAACAGCACTCGATGACTTTCAGCAGCACTTTTCTTTGAATTAAACAGGAAAAGTAAAACTTCCCGCAAATGGTGTTTTGTTGGCTCGTAATTCGAGATCTTCGGAGCTGAGAAAAAATATGTTGTTTACACTTAAGCAAAATGACACATAATAAAAAGTAAAGTCTAATGACAGAGCTTTGACATGAATATAGTTACAGAAGTGTCCGATGCGATATAGCATAAGTTACGCCATCTGTTGTAAATCCCTCAAAATTAATTCACAGTTCTAGTATAATACAATAAAATAAAAATAAATTAAATAAATAAATACAATATAATACAATAAAAATAAAAAAAATAAAATAGAAATAAAATAAAATATAATAAAATATAAATGGATAGAAAATCGATTAATGTGTTAGCATTAGGCGCGGGATCGCTCCCGACTGGGAACCAATGCGCGGGATGCGTTATAGAATCAGAGCCGTTCTCACTTAAACAAATGTATTTCACAAAGAG